TGTGGGGGTCTTTGGTAGCACTAGAACAATCCAGTGTGGAAATTAGCTAGTTTGGTCTTAACAAACTTTGTATCAAATTGTGTGTGTATTATTTAAGAATCCGACTACTTTTATTTACTGCAGAAATAAATTGTGTTTAATGACAATTGCTCCAACAACTGAAATGAAATAAAAAGATAAATCGAGTAAAAATATGTAAGTAAATAGTTAGGAAATACTCACTGGTCCCCGGCTTGAGCTTGAGTCTCAGGATCCATGTATCTGTGATCCTCTCCAGAATGGAAGTAGTCATCACATACAGAGCATCAACTAGTTCCTGAACAGTGTCCTTCACATGCTGATATCCAAGAGAGGGAGTTCCACAGTCACAAGATGGAGGAATAGAAAGCAGTATTCAATGTTTACTTCAGATTAGCTCCACGTCAGAAATGATCATGCTTGTCATATGTCTCTCTCCATAGAGGCTGAATCATCATGTTAATCACATAGCTATCATATGCCTCAAACAGTCCTGATGCTCTTCTAGGTAATCACACATCCTGTCATGTTCACAGCTACAGTTGGGATACCTTTGTTAGCATGTTACTCTGATATTGGGAGAGAACATTCAGTATTTTCCCAACACAATAGAAAATAGCAATCAATGAATTCTCCAAAATATATAGATGTGCTTTCCCATTTTAGGGTTAATTGCTCAACCCTAAAATGAACTAACCACCCCTAAACAACACATCAGCACCCTCTCTGACTCTTCTAACTCGCTCCCCTCTCCAGATCGAGCAGCGGCGCCACAGTGAGGGCAGTAACTCCACCTCCTGTATCTTCATGGTGAACAAACCGTACGCCCTCACCTGCTCCGTGGTGGCCTTCTACATCCCGCTGGTCCTCATGGTGCTGGCCTACCAGAGGATCTACATCACGGCTCGAGCCCACGCCCTGCAGATCAGCATCTTGCAGCGAGCGGGAGGAGGTGGAGGAGGTGGGATAGACCATCAACGAAACCACCGCATGCGAACAGAGACCAAAGCAGCCAAGACTCTGTGCATCATCATGGGTTGCTTCTGCCTCTGTTGGGCGCCGTTCTTCGTCACTAACGTGGTGGACCCCTTTATAGACTACGCGGTGCCGGAGCAGCTGTGGATCGCCTGCCTGTGGCTGGGATACATTAACTCCATGCTCAACCCCATCCTCTACGCCTTCCTCAACAAGTCCTTCCGCCGTGCCTTCCTCATCATCCTGTGCTGCGGGAGGAAGAGGTACCGCCGGCCGTCCATCCTGGGGTCCGGAGCGCCCTGCACGGCCACGCAGATCAACGGCTCCACACATGTAGTCAAGTAAGTTCCCCCTGATCATTGCTGTGGATTGGTTTAACATTCAGGACATCACGTGGTGAAGGAATGAGTCCTGAAACCTGGAAATGAGTCAGCATTTCACCACTTCCTGATCACTTGTCTGTTGAAATAGGGACTGTGGTTAAGAAAATCTGAAGATATTTTAACGTTTGTTGCATTAAACTCAAGAATTTGAAAATATTTCATCCTCAAGGCCTTTAGATGGCCCTGACAAAATGTGTAACTCAAGTAAGTTCCCCGTAATCATTGTTGTGGATTGGACTGTCATAGAGTGGTGCAGGAATGAGTCCTAAAACATGTCACCACTTCCGGATCGATTCTATAGGTTTTTTGAATACGTTTTTGGTTAGCGTGAAACGGGGTCTGTGGGTAAACGAAGTTGAACAGATATTTTAACATTTCGTTGCATTAAACTCAAGAATGAGAAAATTGGACAGGAATGAGTCCTGAAACCTGAGTCAGTGTTTCACCACTTCCTGTTCGCTTGTCTCTTTGAATGTATTTTTGGTTGAAATAGAGTCTGTTATATCTGAAGATATGTTAACGTGTTGTTGCATTAAACTCAAGAGTTCGATAACTTTTCCTCCTTAAGGCCTTTAGATGGTCCTGACAACATTTGAAGTTGTCAGAACAAATCTGGTAGAGGATTTCGTTAAAGCCCCTGTCACACTGTCCCGAAATTGACACCCGATGGACACACGAATATGGAATTGTGAACTTCGCACGAAGATGGCCGACTTTGTTCTTTACTTTCTCCGTCTTTATATGTAGAAGATATTAAGTTTTCTCCGTCATGTTGTTTCCATAGCAACAACAACTTCCTCGCCTTCAAAATAATATATTATATCCTTTTTAGTTTCAAAGAACACAAATTGGGTTATTTACATAATATGTTTACATGATTTTGTTGTGCAATAAAACAACCAGATGGACACACGATAAAGGAAATGTTCAAATTCGGCTCTGATCGTAGCAACATCGGGACATTCGTGAGGGCATCTTAAGCCATCTTTGGCATGCCAAAGATTTTGCCACCGCTCCCGAAGTTGCTGCCAGAGCCTGATAAATTCCACCGGCGGTCATACGATGGCTTAAGATGCCCTCACGAATGGCCCAATGTTGTTTCGATCAGAGCCGAATTTGAACATTTCCTTAATTGTGTGTCCATCGGGTGTCAATTTCGGGACAGTGTGACAGGGGCTTTAGCCATCTGATGAAGCCTTTGTGGTATTCTTTTCAGGACACATTCAGACACTACAGATAATAATCTGCAAGCACTGTTTTTCTTCCTCAGACCTCCAGTTTCTGGGAAAACAATCCAGAGAACCAGCAAACTTTTGCTTGCAAACTTTGCACAGCAGGTACTCCTGGGAGGCAGCTAAAAAGACAGTGGTGAAAGCTGAGTTACGCAATCAAACCAGTCAGGGGAATGCTCATTATTGTGTGTTGTTTGTTTGTGTAGCTTTTTTTCAATCCTTTCTCTTCTGTTTATCCCTAAAATGCAAACTGTATTGTCTCTTCTAAAGGCTGCTCATCTCTTGGCAATATTGCGCTACCCTCCATTTTGATATGCACACTATCTTGTTGGTTCAAAATGTTCTCTTGCTTAGTGCCAAGACTGACATAGCAACTTATCAATGAGCATTTGAAATCTCTTCTATTCATCCCGCTGCACTGTCAACAGCTACTTTTCTTTTGACAGTCTGAGTGGCCACTAAAGGAAAGGCTGCTTTGAAAAGAGTTTCAGAAAAAATAAGAGCATACATAGTAATCTTCATCCTATTGTACAGTAGTGCACTTGCTAGAATGTTCAGCAAGTCTCTCAAGAATAGTTGGTTAGTTTGTGCCTGGTACTGTCAATTTAGCTGAAAGCCCATTTATTTGAATCAGGAGTAGCTCTTGACCACCCAACTAATAGTTTTGCTAAATAGCAGTCTGTTCCATCTAGAAAAAAAGGTCTGAATGTTCCATCAATGTTATGTTCGTGCATCTTTCTTACCCTGTCACTGGGCTGTAATTTCATGACAGTACTTTAACAAGTTAGTATTGTCTTGCATACAAATGTACAGTGGGGCAAAAAAGCATTCAGTCAGCCACCAATTGTGCAAGTTCTCCCACTTAAAAAGATGAGAGAGGCCTGTAATTTTCATCCTAGGTATACCTCAACTATGAGAGACAAAATGAGAAAAAAAAAAAAATCCAGAAAATCCCATTGTCTGATTTTTAAAGAATTTATTTGCAAATTATGGTGGAAAATAAGTATTTGGTCACCTACAAACAAACAAGATGTCTGGCTCTCACAGACCTGTAACTTCTTCTTTAAGAGCCTCCTCTGTCCTCTAGTTGTTAACTGTATTAATGGCACCTGTTTGAACTCGTTATCAGTATAAAAGACACCTGTCCACAACCTCTAACAGTCACACTCCAAACTCCACTATGGCCAAGACCAAAGAGCTGTCAAAGGACACCAGAAACAAAATTGTAGACCTGCACCAGGCTGGGAAGACTGAATCTGCAATAGGTAAGCAGCTTGGTGTGAAGAAATCAACTGTGGGAGCAATTATTAGAAAATGGAAGACATACAAGACCACTGATAATCTCCCTCGATCTGGGGCTCCACGCAAGATCTCACCCCGTGGGGTCAAAATGATCACAAGAACGGTGAGCAAAAATCCCAGAACCACACGGGGGGACCTAGTCAATGACCTGCAGAGAGCTGGGACCAAAGTAACAAAGGCTACCATCAGTAACACACTACGCCGCCAGGGACTCAAATCCTGCAGTGCCAGACGTGTCCCCCTGCTTAAGCCAGTACATGTCCAGGCCCGTCTGAAGTTTGCTAGAGAGCATTTAGATGATCCAGAAGAGGATTGGGAGAATGTCATATGGTCAGATGAAACCAAAATATAACTTTTTGGTAAAAACTCAACTAGACGTGTTTGGAGGAAAAATAATGCTGAGTTGCATCCAAAGAACACCATACCTACTGTGAAACATGGGGGTNCCCACAACAATTCTGCTGTTTCTTCCCAGACCCCAACACCAAATTATACCTTTATTTGTTAGAGACCTTCAGACTTCGCTAAAATTGTCAAAATCTGTTTTGTAGAGTTTCTGTTGTGGAGGATATCATGAAGCCTTGTTCCGATAAAAAAAACTAGGGCGTAGTCACGGGAGACCCGAACACAACATAAGGGTTAAAGCTACCACTAATTACCTTCATTTTTCTTATTTGTAATGATCTTGGTTTGTAAGCCACATTAAAAATAAGGTGATTCGTAGAATCCGTCACCATAATGATTTGGTTTAAACCACATTGAGGAAAAGAATAAACCTATAAGCTTAAAAAGGGACAGTAAGAGACAAAGTGGGAATCTAAAAGACATTCATTCAGCTGTTGTGTTGCATTGTGGGAGTTGTAGGACGCAGGTGTTTTTGATCTTGTCCTTACTCAGTCTGTTAAAAATGGCTTCTGGGGCACTGTAGGAGCTGCATCTGGACGTACTTTGAGACTTAACAGGAATCCAGTAAAACATTTTGGGGTTCTGGATTTTTCATCTGTCGGGCGGTTTTTGAGAAGTTGCATCATAGGAAGTAATTTATTGGATCCAGTGTTAAGGGGCTTAATTATTACAAAGGACTAAAAGTACTGCTTAGATTCTGATTGCTAGTTCCTCACTCGACTGAGAAGCAAGACGAAAACACTGAAGTAGCCCTTTAAAGCAGATCTACAGTAGCCATGAATAAACTGTCATTCAAATCGAGCAAGTCTGTTCATTCTTGACCTTTCAACATCAGTCGATGAAACAAACTGAACTCAAGCTCACCACTTGTTAGTTTTTGACCTTTTGACTGTGTCACGTCTTTAACAAGAGCTTGAGTTTGCTCCGTCTTCAAGGAACTGTAGATGTTTAAACTTTCCATGATTCTCCAGACCAGTGCACAATCACATAAAAGTTTAGCATCGGACTCAGTCAGAAATTAAACCAAAAGTTAACCGAGGCATGTGACGCAGTGGGTTAGTGCGTTGGTGATCGGATCAGGGGGATCAGGGGGTCACAGGTTCAAACCCCACTGCAGTCAGCAAGTCGCTTTGGATAAAAGCGTCTAACAAGTAATGTATTACGTGAGTTTGAGGTCAATTGGTTTCTTTGTTGATTGTTCGTCCAAAGGAATACACGAAAAACTACCTGCCGGATTTAAATGAAACTTGGGGGAAATATGTATCATTGGCCAAGGTAGAACCCATTACATTTCGGAACTGATCTGAATCACCCGGCGAATACAAATTATTTTTTTCCTTGGCGGAGGGCTGCGGTCTTTGAGTGCCCTTCTAGTTATAAAAGCCTATATATTTACTCCTCTCCTTTCATTGAAATTTGATTTCTCTGATATTGGTTGAATTTGTCCTGGATTTGAAAATGAGAATAAGTCCTCCTATTTATGTCTGATATTTCCTGAGATATGTTGATGCAAAGCTTGATTTTTATTTTTGGATGTAGAGATGAATGGTCAAGTCTTGGCTCAGTTCACCTAAGGTCCCTCCAAAGTCAGAGAGATTACTGAGGCTGTTTGTGGGAGTGTGTACAGTATGTGTTTCAGTGTCTGGGCCACTGCGTCCAGCTCCTTCTTGCTCGAGCTCCAGTCTGTGGAGGTAATGAAGATCAATGAGAGGAATGGTGGAGGCCGGCTGAGATCCAGGTACTGTCTCCCTGTTTCAGGCCAAAGCTCTATCGATCCCCCTGTGCTCCACTCTGCCAGCATCTGATAAAGGGCCTCTGTACACACACAAATACACACACACATATACACTTCACACACAAACTCACTCATGTGCACTACCAAAGAAACACACCAAGTAAATAGGCTTAGTCCCTAATGCTGGGGAAAGAGTTAAGCCCCCATCACCCCTTTACAGTTTTCTCAAACACCTAAAGGAAAATGTAGAGCTCACATTTCATCATTGTCAAGTAATGGTAGCTGAGT